GAGAGAGAGAGATTCATTTTTTTATTACACTTATTATTACTTTTCTTTTTCACTGTCTCATTAAAATGATATGAATGATATATATTATGTAAGTAATCAAACAATATAAAATAATCTTATTGTTTAATAATAAATCTTCGAATCAACATCATGATTCATAGATGATAATTTTAATGATATTTATATTTGGCATCATTATTGATAATATTGATAATATCGTGCAATATCTTTTAAATTTATAATAGGTATCGAATCTAATAAAAGAACCACTTGATATGAATGAAAATTTTAATGAAAAATAAAATGAAGAAAACGATCAATTTGCCTTATCCAACGATATAAAGATTTTGGTAAGTAAGAATGATTTCTTAGATATCTTATAATATTAGCAATTACGAAAAAAAATGATCGAAAAATCATCGAAAAATAAATTAACAGTATTAAATCTATGGAAATGAGTGAATAGGAAAAATGAAGGATAATAATAATGATATGTATTTTATATCGAAAATGAAAATTATAACAAGGATGAAAATGAAAATAATAAATAAAATGATAATGAAAATGTAATTATAATGAAAATGATAATGATGAAGATGTGATTATGAACGGAATGACAAGGATGATGAGACCGGTGATGATTGGGATAACGAAGATGATATTGATAGTGATAGTGGCAATGACGGTAATAATAACAATGACAATAACGATGAAAATCATATACATATCAATATAAATATACAATATTAATGTTAAAAATTTGATTTACAGTTATGGTACTGGAAACAGTTGATAATGACAAAAAAAGTATAATAAAAAATGCAAAGTCTGATGTGTCATAATCGCATAGTTTGAGAGTGATTGATCGATCGTTTAATTTGGAAGATTTTGCCAAAGCGTTTAACTGTGCGATAGATAGTTTTATGAATTCTAAAAAATATATATATATATATATAATATATGTAATGTAATTATTTATATTATAATTACAATTATACGAGAATAATTTAAAATTTACAGAATTTTTTAATAGATTTTTAATCACGATTTTAACGACGTAATTTTCTCAGGAAAATAAAATACATATATGATAAAATTTGAAAATTATTTTCATATAAATAATTTCTTTAAAATCTTGTTAAATAATTTGTATTTAAATAATTTTACATTTATGTTACTTAAATAAAATCCAAGACGCAACGTAAAATTAAAATATCATTAATGTAAGTACATATTTACATAATTTCAATCTTTTTTCAATGCTCAAACTATTTTTAAATTTAGA